ATTATTCTCTCATATATATATATATATATATGCTTTGATTTCTTATTCTCTCATTATGTTATAATTGGATTTTGGTCTTTGCATTATAAAAATCAAACTCATACTTTTTTTTTCAAAATTCTTGTGAACCTAAACAGAGCTACATCGCGGTTTGGTTGGGTCAGTATTACCTATTAGCTGTTTCGATTTAAAATGTTTTCTAAAATGTATAAACTGATTCATCAAGCCGATTGAATGCACACTTCTGGCCATAGTGATAGCCATTCAAAAGTCCACAAATTCACATGAGTGCAAAAGTTAAAAATTGTCCACATTGAAAGTGAAACAATAATTGAGTGCTTGGTAGTGATCTTTACCTATTCAATTATGCTTTTTCATATAATGGGTGTTTGTCTACCATTTTTAGGCTTTATCTGAAACCCCTTATGCCCCATCCTTCTAATTTGATTTTTAAGTTTTTAGAATATTATTAAGTTCATTAGAGAGAGGTGAAAATAAAAGCTTGTGGTTACTCATGAGTGCTGGATGCTAATTTTAATGGAATCATGAATTTCAAGTGGTCCATTTAGCAGGAACACATTAATTGTGAATCCTCAATTTTTGTGTTTTTTTCCCTCAACTTAGATCTCCACAGTTTCTGATAAGAATGCAATTTTTCTGGTTAGCAGTGCATACCAATGGGAAGAAATCTTTTGTTAATATCAATCTTTAAATTAGGATGTGATCCCATTATTTATGTTAGATGTTATTAGTGTTCAATTCTTTCCTTTCCATATAATTCCTAGTGTATGTATTTCCTTGTTTATGTATTTCCTAGTTTATATCTATCCTTGTTTAAGTATTTTCTATTTTATGTCTTTCCTATTTTATAACTTTTGTATCCTATATTTATCTCCCTTTTGATATCAATAAAATTGTTCTGTTGAATTTGAACATGGTATCATAGCCAATGGATCTTACTCCAGCCGTCAGGGTTCTTCTTTAGCCACCGAAATTGTCACTTGCTGGCCTTTAGCAATTGGTCCTTCCCTTTTCCTGCAACCGACACCCTTTCCTGATGCCAGAAATCTTCCAAGAAATGACATAGATGGCACCAATACTCAGTCTCCTAGTTATAATTTTTCTCTTTCTACTGCATGTTCTATTATGCTTCTATATTGTTTTTTGGGTCATCCCTATTTTTATTGTTTAAATTATTTGTACCCCTTGATGTTTATTAATAAAAGTCAATCTTTTTTAAATGTGAAATTTGTCAGTTAGCTAAACATCAACGTGTCATATCCACCTCATTCTTACACTTTTTCCTCTCCATTTTCATTTATTCATTGTGATTTATGGGGGCCTTTTCGAACTACGAGCTACTACAATAAAATGTAATTTCTTACTTTAATTGATGACTACACTCGAATATCTTAAGCCTATATTTTAAAAGATAAATTTGAAGTTGCGGTCATTTTTAAAAATTTTCACTTTTTTATTTTAACTCATATCAAAACAAATATTCAAGTCATTCGGACGGAAAATGATCAGGAATACTTTAACTCTATATTGGGAGAATTCTTAGTGAGTAAGGGCATCCTCTATCATAGTTCATGTACGAATACCTCTTAACAAAACAGGGTAGCAGAGAGGAAAAATAGACATTTTCTTGAAGTTACTTGCTCAATTATGTTTCAAATCAATATCTTTAAACGGTTTTGGAATAATGTTATCCTCACTGCCAACTAGCTCATCAATAGAGTTCCCACAAAAATTCACAAATCTTGAACCCCATTATTTGTCATAATGTCTTATTTTCCTACCAATCGATCATTCTCTACGTTAGACCCCAAAATATTTGGGTGCATGACCTTTGCCCGAAACATAAGCCCAACTCGTAGTAAATTTGATCCCTGCTTAATCAAATGTGTCTTCCTTGGCTATTTCTCTAATAAAAAAGAATACTGGTGTTTGGATCCTTCCACTAATAAAATCTTTGTAGTGCTGACGTCTTTTTTTTTGTTGAAAATGTCCCATTTTTTTCTAACAGTATCTCAAGTGAGGAAGAGCTTGATTTTTTTGAAACGATTTCTCTTTCGACTAGGTTAGACATTCCTCCAATGACCACGATGTCCAGTGCACCTTCAACACCATGGATTCACCCACAAATAGGCCAACATTACGACCACCTTTTTGAGCCTTCTGCTTCACTGCAGATCTTGGAATTTCCTTTGACCGAAATCCCTGGAAAGATGCATTCGTCGCCTATGGGGTCACTCCTGATCTGAGTGAAAATGTAAATCTCCCTATTGAGGTATGACAACATATACCGTTGGAAGTTCTATTTCCTATGGTGAAATATGTCTCGTTCCACATCGTTTCTCCTACCTACGAAGTATTTGCTACTTCTATGATGGATCGTTGTCTCCCATCCACTATAGAAGCTGCTTTGGTTGACCCGTCCTGGAAGGCTGCTGTCATGGACAAGATGAATGCTCTTCGGCGCAACCATACTTAGGATTTGGTCGATCTTCCCTGGGTTAAGAAAGCGGTGGGGTGACGGTGGATCTTCAACACCAAGTTTAACTCCGATGGTTCTTTTGAATGCAACAGAGCACGGTTGGTTGACAAATGATATTCTCAGACTTATAGAGTTGACCATGAAGAGACATTCACTCCAGTTGCTAAACTCAATACCATTCGGGTCTTATTATCTCTAGTCGTGAATCTGGATTGGCTCTTACTCCAGCTAGATGTCAAGAATGTTTTTTTTATAGTGATTTTGTTGAGGATTTTTATATATCTCTTTTTCTGGGATGTAACTCGATTTTTTTTCCGTGGACTAGTGTGCAAATTGCGAAAGTCCCTTCATGGAATGAATCAATCCCCACGGGCCTGGTTTGACAAGTTCACGCAGATTTTAGTGGGCCATGAGTTCTTCCAGGCCCAATCTGATCATACACTATTTTTTTGGCATTCTTCCAGTGGTTGTATTGCCATCCTCATCGTCTATGTCGACGACATTGTGCTCACAAGTAATGATCTGTCAGCCTTGGAGTCACTTAAAAACATCCTCTCATATCTTTTGAAATGAAAGACTTGAGGTCTTCTATTCAATATTTCTTAGGTATGAAAGTAGCCCGATCCTCTTAGGGCATTTGTCTTTCTCAGCACTGATATATGACAAACCTATTGACCGAGACCAACCTTCTCCCATGCAAACTGGTTGCTGGCCCAATAAACCCAAACTAGAAAGTATTGGATGTTCCCATTGCTTGTTCCAGTGAACAAAACCTACTACCAACGCGTTGTGGGCAAGATCATCTATCTCGCCCATATTCTCCCGGACATTTCTCATGCCGTGGGTATCATCAGTTAGTTTATGCATGACCCTTATGAGCATCATTTCACCGTTGTTTATCGAATCCTTGGGAACATGAGACTCAGATTTGTTATTCACTCATCACAACTCCCACTTTATGCGGTTTATATAGATGTTGTTGGGCCCAAATCCATCCATGATAGACGTTCTGCCTCAGGTTATTGCTCCTTCGTATGGGAGAATCTTGTCACTTGGAAAAATAAAAATAGTCTGTGATTGCCCGCCGAAATATTTTGGCTAGCACAGTTACTTATGATCTACGTTTAAGGTTTGTCTTAAGGTCCATTTGACACAGCTTTCTACTTTACGATTTAGACTGCAACTACAATTTTGTTTTAGGAACTATCTTGTTGATGCTTTCTAAAAAAAATTTGATTAGGGGTTATTTATCTGCAATCAGATCTGTTTAAGTGTGGTGGCTGCAAAAAAGTTACTATTGAACTTCTTAGAAAAAAATAAATATTTATATTCACACTACAACTTTTTAAGAAGTTATTTTTCTTGTCACATCCCTACAACCATATGTATAAAAAATTGCGGCTATCTCAAATTGATTCTTACTCTATCAAATTTTGTTATGAACTGATGCACCTTGCCTTTTGTAGGAACTCAATTGGTGAACACAACAGTTGGTATAAAAGAATTCGTTCAAAATGAATTCACAAAAGTACAGGATGAAATTATATTTCCAAACAAGCAGCTTTTCCAGAAGACAATTAATGCTGCTGATTTCCTATGGGCGTTTGGAATGCTAAGATCAAGGGCATTTTCAGGCCTTCGTGGAGATAAGCTTGCTCTAATTCCATTAGCTGATCTTGTAAGAACCCATGCATCTTGTAAGAACCCATGCATAAAGATTTATTGAATAGATTAAAATATCTAAACAATGTTTCATACATGTTAGTTCTTTCGATGATTATTTGATGTTGTTGATCAGATTAATCATAATTCTAGCATTAATTCAGAAGAGAGCTGTTGGGAGATCAAAGGAAAGGGAGTATTTTCCCGTCAACTTGTATTTTCATTGCGTACGCCTGCATCTGTCAATGCTGGTGAACAGGTAAATTTAAACTGTACCTATTTTTTTCTGAATAATCAGTTTTTTCTTTTCTTTTTTTTTGTCTTTGATGATAGACATGTGTAGTCCTTGCTGGCGATTCTTAGTTGATAGATATTGCGATTTCATTATTTAATTGCATGAAAGCAGAATTTGTCCATCTAGCACTTATTTGGATTATTTATTATTTTTATTTTTATTTTGAGCGAATTTAGTCATAAACTCATCTGCTTATTTGTTCGCAATAAGTTTCAAAATTCAAAACTTTATAGTTGGAGCAAAAGAATCCAATCACAGGTTAAGCTGGGTTGTGTTAGCACTTATTTTATATTAAGAGAAAAGTATCAAAATAGTCCTACGACTCTTTGCAAGCTGTAATTTTAACATAATATTTTATAAAAATGTCAATATAGTCACCACACTCTTTTAATATGGACTAAAATGTATCCATAGGACTATCTCAACTTTAATTTAAAGAATCTTAGGACTAATTTGACACTTTTATAGACTCTAGGACTTAAATGGCCAACTGTAAAGAGCCAGAGGACTATTTTGACATTTTACTCTTGACATTAATACAGTAGTTTAATGAAAATTTTGCATTAAAAGCTTGCTGAGCTCAACTTGACAATATGTGCCGCATCTGAAATGGAATAATTAACACATAAGGATTCCAAAACCTAACCCTTATAGATTATGCCTTAATGATTCTACAAATTTCTAAATATAAGCAATAGGAGTTATAATAACAGCACTTTTCACAGTTATAGCTGAACGCATTATGATGCAACTTTGCTTGCAATCATTATTCTCTCCTTCATTAAAATTTTTTATTGAATTCTTATCTTTTTTGAGAAAAGTGTCAAAATGATCCTCTAAATTTTTGTCGTGAGTCATTTTACCCTAGTCTATAAAAGGTTCACTTTAGTCCCCATGCACTTTTAATATGGGCTGAAATAGTCCACCTTGGGAACTATTTCAGCACACATTAAAGGAGTCTAGGGATTAATTTGGTACCTTTATGGACTCTGGGACTAAAATCACTCAATGTAAATATTTGGGCTATCCTTTTTATATGTTAACGAGTTCTTATAAGACATAAATTATCCATATCAGGTTTACATACAATATGATCAAGAGAAAAGCAATGCTGAGCTAGCACTAGACTATGGCTTCATAGAACCAAACAACAAGAGCCGCCATGTTTATACTATGACATTACAGATCTCTGAATCTGATCCCTTTTATGAAGACAAGTTGGATATTGCAGAGCTAAATGGCTTAGGGGAAACTGCATATTTTGATGTTATGCTTGACCTTCCCCTTCCTCCATTGATGCTTCCATATTTAAGGCTGGTAGCTCTTGGAGGAACAGATGCCTTCCTTTTGGAGTCTCTTTTCAGAAACTCAGTTTGGGGTCATCTGGAGTTACCCGTTAGTCATGCCAATGAGGAGACGATTTGCCGTGTGGTTCGCAATGCATGTAGTTCTGCCCTCTCATGTTATCACACGGCAGTCGAAGAGGTAAACTGTGTTTCTTTTTTGTACGAGTTTTAAGGAACTTTTGCCTACCATGCATTCTAGATTACAAGCTACTGTTAAAGCTTTTCTTTGGTTTATAGGATATCACAGTGGCTAGAGAATAGTGAATGATTTTTTAGGTGCATTTAGTACATTTCTCACACCTAGACTTTTATATTTACACTTATAACACTCAATTCTTTAATATCACATAAAAATAACATTATTATTACTTTTAAAGTGTAATGCATGTAAATATAAAAGTATAGCTGTGAGATATGTAAATGCATAACAATTGTGTGCTACTTATGTAAATTTCCTTTTATTTATTTATTTATTTATGCAAGGGCATTGAGAAAAAAAAAGGGTTTACTATTATAATTTTAAGGGCATAAAATTCCACATAATTCTTGTGTTTAGATAGCTAACACCTAAACATTCATATTTACATGCATAATGTTCTAATCTTTAACATGACATCAAAATCACCGTCACCATCTTTTTAAATATAAAATGCATTTTTGCATACATAGGTTCTAAATTGTTATAGTGTAAACATCAAACTTTGGATGTTAGATACGTAAATAAATAAGAATTGAGTAGTGTGTATGTAAATTTCCCTAATTTTAATTACTCAAAATGTAAAATCCTACAGAAAAAGAAAGAGGATGATCAGAAATTGATGACCTCTTCAAATTTTCTCTGAGTCTTGGATATCCTATGGTGATTTATTGTATTATGAACCATGGTGACATTTAAGTTATATATTACATTTAACGCATAAATCTGATTTTTCGTCAATTTAGTTTAAATAGTTCTAGTTCAAGAAAAGCTTGGTGACTTTCTTTCCAGCAAATATTACCTTTTTTTTTTAAACTTCCAAGAATGTGTATGCTTCATCTCTATTCTAATGTTGGCCTGATAGTTAATTGAATCCTAGTTCAATTTTTTGTCCTTTTTTTGTGCCAATAAAAAGGGGCATTTACGTACATACCATCCTATTCTTTTGTATTTACATATCAAACATCTAAACTCTATTTTTTACATTTTTACCACCAAATCTTTCATATCACATAAAAAATGCCACAACTTCAACTTTGCTTTGGTAAGATGGTGTATATGTAGAAGTTTTAAGTTTAGGTATTAGATATGTAAATACACAGGAATTAAGCAGTGTGTATGAAAATCTTCCAAATAAAAATCTCTATCACAGGCATGCAACTTCAACTCATTGCCTTCTACGAAATGTGCCAATGTTCTAGCATTATATTTTTACTGAATGATGATGTTTAATGCGAGTAATTTTACAGGATGAAGAGCTAATGGAAAGGGGAGGACTGGATCCAAGGTCTGTGATTGCTATTGGTATAAGATTAGGGGAGAAGAAGGTGCTCCAGCATATAAATGAAATTTTCCGAGCGCGTGAATCAGAACTGGACACTCTGGAATACTATCAGGAGAGGAGGCTCAAGGATTTGGGATTGGCTGGGGAGCAAGGAGAAATCATCTTTTGGGAATCCAAATAAGTTGCCGAGTTTTCTTTCAAAATTGGACCAAGGTGCATATCATGCTCATACATACATACATATATATATATATAATATGTTGTTTGCCTTGAAAATTGGACCAAGGTGCATATCATGCTCATACATATATATATATATATATAATATGTTGTTTGCCTTGAGCATAAATTCAAAATTGCACCTAGATCAAGGGTGTGCATTATTTATTTAACGAATTGAACCGGACAATTTTGATTGATTCGGCTCAGTTTCAAAAGTGCGTTATGATCTTTGATTTTTTTGTTATTGGTTCGATTTTAGTTCTCATTTTACTAAATAAATCAACAACAACAATAAGCCTTTATCCCACTAGCTGGGGTTGGTTGCATGAATCCTTTTTCTCCGTTGTGTCATATTGAGTGTCATATTATCATTTAATTTTAATAAATTAGGATCATTTTTATACAACACGACGAAGTCGTTTTGTGCCTACCTTTACCTTTTATAACATAAGTCAAATCTAAAACATCCAATCTTCTAGGTCTTCAGATCATTGATGCTTAATGTGACCAAACTATCGACGACTCGCTGATATATGAGTAACCCAAACCATAATAGAAAATCAAATATTATTACTTAAATCAACTAAACAGTTACAATCAATACACTTGAAAGAAAAAATATAACACAACACCTGAAAATCAGAAATAACGATAGACACGACATAAATAATCAAACTAGGGTGGGATCTTAGGGTGGTGGTGGCTATCTGCGAGGGTTTGGCCCTTCGACGAGGTAGCAAATAGTGGGTGAAGACATCAATGGTGTGGATGGCGGCAACGAAGGGGAGGAGTTGCAGCAAGGGCAACAAGTTGGAAGGAGAGGAATGGATGGCTGAGTGGTTGGAACAACACAAAACAGTAGGAAAAGATTGTTTTGGGAAAAAAATATCGGTTGAGGCAATGAGGGATGTGAGGTACTGCAGAACAACAAAAGGATGACTATTTAGGATGGTGGCAACTAGGAGATGTGGCTGGATTGAGGAAACTGCAGGGAAAACAACACGGTGCAACTATTTGGGAGCAGCTACAGTAATGGAGGGCGGTTGGGAGCGACGTGGGGAGGATGTGGAAAGGGATAGGGAAAATAAACACCACTTTAAGAGAATGATACAACCGTGGCATCACCCAAGTCCTCAGATACAATCCTCAAAGGGAGAAATGGACGTCGACGGTTGTCCTGACAGAAAATTGAGTTAAAAATTGAATTTCAAACCTTAATACAACACATTTATAGGTAATGACTTAAAATGAATGAAGGATAATAGGAAAGAAAACATAAGAAAGAAAAACAAGACTATTTTGGCCCATCTCTCCGATTGTGAAATCCCGTGGTATTGTAACAGCTACAGTACCGCATTCAAGGTAAGCTCCCACGTAAATCTCCCACAGTTGGAGGGAGATTCGACTTCATCTGTCGAAGCTTCAATCTCCTCATCATATGACGTCAGGTCAACCACGTTGAAGGTGACAAAAACGTTGAACCTCCCGGTAAGTCAATCCAGTTAGCGTTGGCATTCCAAAGCACATATTGATTGAATATGTATCCATCTTGTTATGCACAATCATAACTAGAACTGTACGTGGATGAGTATCCTCATGAACCAAGCCTCAAACCATCAAATTTGTAATTGGCTTTTTCCACTCTTAATAGTCGTTCGAGTATCTGATAAACAAGTATGTAAGGAGGAATTAACTCTGGGACGAAATCTATGGCATACTAGACCACATTGAAGTATAACCACTCAGAAGATGTCTCTTCTTCTTCTCTGAAAACTCCTGAATCCCATTGTAAGATATTCCTTCCGACTAAACTCCTAAGGCAATTTCCGACAGCGTGATTCATCCATCCTGCTTAATCAGTTGTCGATAGATATACTGCTGAACTGAATTTAATACCCCAATGACCCCTTATAAGCTTTCAAAAAAGACAAAAGTGTCTCGTCTAAGACAAACTGGATTTCCCTCAATATGGGCAACTAAGAATGTAGGTTATATATCTGCCAACTAAGGATGTAGGTTATATATCTGAAAAGGATTGTCATATGTCTGATATTGGCTCCTTAAACTCATGGCCATTTTGGACACCTAATACCAGTCCTACTAATGCCCCTCTTAACGTTTACAAAACAACAGCTCGAAGCATCACGATCTTATACTTTGCATGAATGTCTATTACCTCAGATTCACTACATTTTAAAACAATTATCCTCAACTCAATTGGAGTCTCTCTCCTCAGTTCAACTCGAATCACTGGCATCTCCTCGTCGGCCAGAAGTGAAAATAATATCTCAAACCTTCTTCTTTTCAAATCTTTAACTTCTCCTGGATCACCATTTATTTCTTCAACTGCCCTTTGATCCGTGAAAGCAATAACTCTTTTGGTTGTGCAATTCGATTCACTATGCCCAATCCCGTAACACTTGAGAACTTCTTGGTTGGGCTGGATTTGAACTGACCCTGCATCTCCCACTTCATCTTGGACTAGGTAGTTATCTTATCTTTTCCCACACGCTGGCGTATAAACTTCAGATTCTCCCTATGAAAATGTCGTGATCTGTCTTCTTCATTGCTGAAATTCTCTTTATGGAAGGGATTTAGATCCTCATCTCTTTCTCCGCTTTGACTCTTCAGATTCCAGTCGAGGATAATCTCTCCTTAACCCCAGTCATCAATTTATGCAAGCCTCTGCTAAAGGCGACAAACCTCCCATTATATCTCATCCCGGGTAAGGTCCGTCATTTATCTCCTTGGTGGCATAGTTATAGTTTGGGATTTGTGGAAGTGGAAAGGGTATTTGGTGGTTGGAAAGAAAATTTTTGGTTTATGGAGAATGCTTAAAACCCTAAGATAGGACTAGAGCTAGGTTATCTTTGATATCAAATGATACTAGATAACCCAAACCATAATAGAAAAGTAAATATTATTACTTGAAGCAACTAAATGGTTACAATTAACATAATTGAAAGGAAAAATATAACACGACACCCGAAAATCAGAAATAACAACAGAAACGACACAAATAATCAAATTAGGGTGGGATCTCGGGTTGTGGCGGCGATCGACAAGGGTTTGTCCCTCCGATGAGGTAGCAAAGAGTGGGTGAATGCTGGAAGGCGTGTCAACAGTAAAGTATGTGGATGTTGGTAGCGAAGGGGAGGAGTTGTGCAAGAATGACAAGCTAGAAGGAGAGGAATGGATAGTTGGGTGACTGAAACAATAGAAAACGGCAGGAAAAGACAGTTTCCGAGCAGATGCAATGAGGGGGACTGTCGGCAGAAGCGACGAGGGATTTGAGAAACTGCAAGACAGCAAGAGGACGGCTGTCCCAGGTGGCTGCAGCAATAGAAAGCAACTAAATGGTTACAATTAACATACTTGAAAGGAAAAATATAACACGACACCCGAAAATCAGAAATAGCAACAGAAACGACACAAATAATCAAATTAGGGTGGGATCTCGGGTTGTGGCGGCGATCGACGAGGGTTTGTCCCTCCGATGAGGTAGCAAAGAGTGGGTGAATGCTGGAAGGCGTGTCAACAGTAAAGTATGTGGATGTTGGTAGCGAAGGGGAGGAGTTGTGCAAGAATGACAAGCTAGAAGGAGAGGAATGGATAGTTGGGTGACTGAAACAATAGAAAACGGCAGGAAAAGACAGTTTCCGAGCAGATGCAATGAGGGGGCCTGTCGGCAGAAGCTACGAGGGATTGGAGAAACTGCAAGACAGCAAGAGGACGGCTGTCCCAGGTGGCTGCAGGAATAGAGGGCGGTCATGAGCAACTTGGGGAGGGTGTGGAAATGGTCAGGGAAGATAAACACATTGGGAGAAAGATGTAACCGAAACACCACCTAAACCCTCAGATACAACCCTCAAAGGAGAAACGGATGCCGACGGTTGTCTGACAGAAATCTGAGTCAAAAACTGAATTAAAAATCCGAATACAACACATATATAAGAAAAAAAACTAAAAAGTAATGAATGATAATAAGAAAGGAAGTCTAAGAAAGGAAAACAAATGTGTTTCAGCCCGTCTCCCGATATTACGAAATTCTGAGGTACTGTAACAACCACAATGTCGTGCTGTGGCGAGCTCCCATGTCACTCTCTCTAGTATTATCTATCACTGGAGCTGCTCCAATCCATTCACAGATATATTCATTTCTCTTTTTGTCGCCACTCATCCACTGAGCATTCTCATCTCATCAATTATTAAGTTTATGTTTCTCTTATACAAGCCAACATTATGCACCATAAAGCATTGTAGATCTCACCATCATCTCACAAAAAGTTCCTTCAAGTCTAAGTGAAACTTTCCTTCATGTATGGGCGGTACATTTCTATCACACAATAGGTCTGATACATTACTCCATTCTAACCATCCAACTTGAGTCTACTAATAATATCCCAATCTATATCATCATCATTTTGAACAAAAGAATTGAGATATCTAAAACATTCACTCATTTTAATGACTCGATTACCAATTTTTAGAACTCTGCCACTAGATATACTATTAAAATTACATTCCATGTATTCAATTTTAGATCTATTCAAACGAAAGTC